AACAGTTCCATGATTTGTCCATTCTATTCTCGTGATTCATCCGCTCCATATGCCAGCAGACATCTTCCTTAGCACGCTGCTGGGAAGGAAAAGCAGAAAGGTGGTAAGAGGAAGAAACACCCCATAGAACAGAAGCACCCGGGGTTGGACCAGATGATCTCCAGAGGTCCATTCTGGCACAGCAGCACATTTCCAGTAGCCAGTTAAGCAGCTGGGATGGGAGAAGTGCTCCCAGATGCTGGAGCTTGAAAGTTGTCAGAATAGCCGTTGGCACTGTTGGCCCAACCTGAAACACACATTCCCAAACCATTTCTGGATGTGGTTTGTGAGTTAACACAGACCGAGGGCCTGGGGACAACAGGGAGGTTCGCTTGCAGTGATTGTGTTTGGATAGGTAGGAATTCAGTGACAAGAAAGCAATTCCCGTTGCTTTAAATTTGTACAAACAAAAGCAACGGAGCTAATTACTGGCACTGCATGTCCACTGCTGATGTCATATGTATTATCAGCACCTAGAAGCTTTATAACCATTCACAGAATGACAACATATGTTGACAGAACAGCTCTCTAGCTGGGGGAAGCAACACTGTGGGCATTAAATCAATACTGAAGCCCTTCCTTAGGGGATGTTGTCCCTCAGTGCCATCAGCCTGAGGTGTGTCAGTCTGTAACGTCATCCAGACCCAGCAATATTACACATGCAGGTGCCAATGAAATACATAATGTGATTAGGAAGTAAATACCTGAAAGCATTATTTCACATAAAGCTCACACCCAGAAAAAGTCAGAGAAAACCTTTTTTCATTCTACAAGCATTCAGTACACGTAATTTTCATTGTTTCTTTTGCATTTTCCCCTTTCTGTACATTTCTGATGTGTTTTACTCAACCTGTCAAAACATTACTGTTGGAATCTGAATCTCTTTGCTTTCTAACACTGACAGGAGTTCATCACGTATGGCCCTACAATCAAAACAGTGAAGTTCAATCTGAATGACCTCTCCGAAAATAAAACACGTGTGAAGGCATTCCTGTGCTTTCTGTGTCCATGCATGCAGTACATAGAAATAATTACGTTCTGTTAGTTGAGGAACAGACAGCGGCTTGATACTATTTGGCTGGTTGTGTGTCTTATATTTCTTGTAAACAAAATGTTTGTTTTGAATTCCTCAAACTCGAAAGTCCTGCTGTGCAAATGGTGCCAGAGGGACAGGAGCTGTGCCATTACAAAGTGTCATAAGAGCAGGCAGAATGACAGGACGCCTTCTTGAAGGATCTCATGATCTTACAAAACCCCAGAGTGATTCCATGGCTGCAGTTCTGTTAGGAAAGGTCTGGGAAAAGAAGGTCTAGAATCTTCAGAACCATTTTAAACAGGGCCACATTTTCACTGCATCTCTCCAAGAACTATGGCTCTCCCAATAAAAAGCAGCAGTTCCAAACCGGAGCAGAGAGAACTGCTTCCTTTAAATGCTACCTGTAACTTGGAGGACTTTGCAGTTTGTTTTGATGTGTTAAAACAAAACAAAAGTCTTCTTAGCCTTCTCTAATCAGGTACCTGGTTATTTTTTTTCTTCCCCTTTTCCCCACATTTATTTATATGGGGGGGGAAGGGGCTGCAGCGTTCAAATCTTGCACCGTTATCAGAAAATTCTTGTTAATTTCTGACTTCAGAAAACAATTGGTGGAGAACCCTTTTCTTCCATGGTTCTTTTTCCATCACCTCTCATACAAGGAAGATCTATGCAAACTTTCCTTTCATACTCAGCATCCTTCTATGTTATAAACAACTGGATTCCTCTTGAGCCCCACTTAAGCCCAATTCTTCTAGAATTCGTTGACCATGAATGCTCCATTTCCATCCACCATGAACTCATTTCTCCCTCCAACTCTTCTACTTGTCACCCACCCACAGACCTTTCAGACATGCTGTGCATAACCAAGTGGCACTGAGACAAATGCATTTCTCCACTGCTGACTTCCTTGGCTGTAACATGAACTTTCTGTTTCCTAGAATGTAATGGAACAATTCAATCCAGGACTGCGGAATTTAATAAATCTCGGGAAGAATTATGAGAAAGCTGTTAATGGTAAGTCTTCAGAATGTTCATTTCAGTAACAGCACTTAATTTTCATTTGATTAATTCTCATATTGGTTATGAGGTTTGTGTATCAGCTTAAATTCCACACTGAACTTCATGCATTTATTTAAAAAAGGCACAAACGTCTTTTTTTATTTGGGAGGGGAAATTGGATTTTGGCTGAATTCAAGTGGTGTTCTGCAAAAGCTGCATCTCAAAGGCTTTCCACTGAGCTACTGCAAAAAAACAAAACAAAAACAACAAACACACCAATAACCCTGAACATAAAGTAACCATAAAGTAACCTGTTCTAAAATTGTAATAGATCTAAAAAAGAATTCACATCCTTACCTCTGTTCCTCCTCCACTGCACACACTGCACTGCCCAAGTAAATAAGCTCATGAACAGAGGAATTTGAGCAGGCACGAGTTCCAGGAACGGATTAATTTTTCCTTCTGACCCAGCTCCATCTGAAGCTGTCTTCCTACTGGAGTCAAAAATCAGAATCCATCCATTTGGATCTAAGGGCATTCATTATACACTTTCATTATTGACTTCTGAGAAGCTGTTTAGATAGAAAAATGCTTTCCAAGCCTGGGCCCTAGATTCCCAAAGCTTGCACTGTAGGACCTGTAGGAGCTTGCTCTTCCTCACTTCCACAGACCTGTTGAGCTGCTTGATACCATATTAAAGCACTGTGAAATCTCCCCATTTTGCCTCCTTAAAGCCTGTGATGTGCCTTTCCCCTATGTGTAAGGTAGCACTCTGAGAAATGTGATACTACAGAAGTCATGCATAGTCAAACAGACATTGAAATTTCTCTTCATGCAAATTTTAGACCAGACTTGAGGAAAAGATAAAAACCAAAGCCTGCTGGAGATGAAAATAAGGGAATGTTGATTTGTTTGCAGTAAAACCTAAGCTCATTCATTAGCAAATAAGTTTACCCATTATAAGCAGTACCAGAAATAGCAAGTTTTCATGTTGGGCTGAAAGTTACACCTGTTCTCGAGAGCAGCTACTTTTCATTCTTTTCCATTGATAAGTTATATTGCCTTTTTTTCCTTCCCTTTTTTAACTGGAATCAATTTATCGTCAGTAATTCATGGTACAGCAGTGTACAGCAGTCCTGGAGAGAGGCTGATAGGTTTTATGGTCTACCTCTTTGAGCCTAGTTGAGAAAGCATATCTAGTATCAATGCTTCATTTTATGTAAGCGATTCCAACAACTGCTGAGGAAGAGCTCTTGGGGCTCTCATACATGTTAGTATGAATCACATTTTCTTCCTTTCTTAGCACCTATGCTAGGAGATGAGATTGACTCGGGGCTATCTTGAGAAAACATTAGATAGGTGGAGTTGGAATGACATAAGCTCTTTGTGAATGCATGGCAGCCCTATCAGCAGCACAGCTCTGTTCAGAAAGTTTGGACATGGCATCCCTGAGAGAAGTTGCTTTCATCCAATGTAACGGGGCTTCAGGAAAAAAATTTCATTTGGAAGAGTTGGTGGCTTCTCAGCAAACATGCTGCTGGGTAACCAAAAAGGCCACCTCTGCTAGTAAAAAGGTATCTAACATACTTACATTGGCAATGCCATCCCTCCCCAGAAAAGGCTATTCTAAAGTCAACAGCCAGCATCTGCTTAGCTTGCACTCTGGGTAAAAAATTAACTACTATCCCCCCAAAATTTAAAGATACACTGCAATCAGTATTCTTCACTGCTATTTCCAGTAAAGCCTTGGCAGTTTTTTTCCTCGTAACGTCTTACATTTGTAGAACGCAGATCATTTTTAGATACCATGGCCACACAAGGCAGGCACTGCATGGTGCAGGGGAAGCTGTTTCTTACTGCTGTCCTCACTGGAGTTAGGGTCATGTTTTGTTCACTCTGGCAAAGCAAGCTTTGCTGTTTAAGTTGGCTATAACTAAGAAATGATTAACTGCAAATAATTGAATCCTCAGCGGTATGTAATAAACACCTATTTTTTTTTCCTGTAAAGCTAGAAGTGAATGATAAACAACAAAACTGTGGGATGGGGGGGAAATTGTCCTGGAAAGGGGGAAAAAAAGTGAGAGTCCAAGTGTGAATTCAGGTGTGTCCACCTGAATGGGAAAGCTGGAACTAAGTAACAGGCTGCAGCTTCAGTGCTTTGGAGCCCTATCTTGCTGACACCTGGTTTCCCAACTTAGCAGATAGCACAGGGACTTGAGTAAGTTTTCCCAACAGTAGGATTTCCTTTTTGGCATACTGTGTGTCCTGGATTCTAATCTTTCATAATGCCATAAATTAATGAAAGAAGATGATATTTCAGTTTTTGTGTTTTGTTTTATTCTCCCTTTAAGCTATGGTAGTGGCTGGAAGATCATACTACGACAGCCTTGCAAAGATTGGGGATATATCAGCGGATTCGCCTGTTTCCAAAGAGTTAGGTAAGTGGGTTTGTAATCATCTTTTTTTAAACTACATCAAAATATAAACTTTGTTTTGTTTTCCTGGTGACTTTTCATAAAAATGATGTAAAGTAGAGAGGTACTGGGAAAAGAGCATTGTACATAGCCAGGTGGGATTACACTGCTTTAAAACACGTTATTTCTCAGGCCACTCACACCAGATCAATCAAGAACATCACTAGAAGTTCTCAGATACTAGATATTACTATTCTAGTTCAGTTTTTGAATGAGGAAATGGAGAGTCAAAGATGGATTAATTTTACATGAACACTGTAATGCTATAACACAATGGGAAGCACAGCAATGACAGCAGGCCAGCAAGGTCCTAGGCTGCAGCAAGTGAAGGTTTGCTTAAATGCAACAATGCAACAGCTGTGGGCACAGGCATAAAGAAAGAAGCTGCTTACCTTCAGAAGGCCTCAAGTAT